GTAGGGTCTGATAAGTTTATTTAACTTAAAGACATTATTTCTGCCTGCAAAGAAAAGTTATCCTAAAATCTATCTGGCATTTCCCGCGCTCACATGACAGTGATAAATAAATTCCGGACTTGATCAGAGAAATAGCTTGTATATTCATTTGGCCTAATTTACAATAGATTCTTTGTACTGGTATTTATATTTATAACAGTAAAAAAATTATCGATGGCCTCTAATAAATTTCATGAAAATTAGAAATAAGTCTGCGCAATAATGTAATGACTTCAAAATTAAAGGTAAAGAAAAATGGATGAAAGAACAATCAGATGATCAGCGGATTTTATAAGTTTTTTACAACTTAACTTTTGTCGTTCATTTTAAAAAAAATATCATTTGCATATTTTAAAATTTTCTTATGTCCACCATTCAGATTATGGCTCTACTAATTTTAACTTGCACTCACTTCTAAAGATTAGGATTCTAGGCTAACAATTGGATTGCTCTTGGTTAAAAACTTAGAGGAAAATGCGACAGGATTTTTTGTTCCATAATGATGCTTAAGAAACTTCAAAATGCTCATTAATACGGGTTGCTCAATCACTATTAATTGCTTAACTCATAAACAGAGAACAGAATATATAGTGTACTTCAAGTGAAGTAAATATGTTGGAGATTCTAGCACGTGTCGCAGCCGGGAAGACGGTTGACACGAGGACGTTACTAGAGAAAATATGCGTGTAGCAGACGTGACAAGAGTCGACTGAGCTGTAGCGCAAACTGTGACCTGTGACCTGCAGGTGCGTGGTACGGCACTGACTGAGCTGTAGCCCACGCCCTGACCTGTGACCTGCAGGTGCGTGGTACGGCACTGACTGAGCTGTAGCCCGCGCCCTGACCTGTGACCTGCAGGTGCGTGGTTCGGCACTGACTGAGCTGTAGCCCACGCCCTGACCTGTGACCTGCAGGTGCGTGGTACGGCACTGACTGAGCTGTAGCGCGCACTGTGACCTGTGACCTGCAGGTGCGTGGTAAGGCAATGACTGAGCTGTAGCGCGCACTGTGACCTGTGACCTACAGGTGCGTGGTACGGCACTGACTGAGCTGTAGCGCTAAACAAAAAACTAAGATTAATTTTTCGAAAATTTTGAGTAGTTAAAACTTTTCGGGTCATAGCCTCATCACTACTTACTCTGTGCTTTATTTGGGGTGACGCGTCATGCAGTTTTAACGTGTACATTTGAGGTGAAACTAATATCGCCCACGCTGCTTCACTTCACCCCTTTTTTTGAGAATCTTCAGCAGTTTGACACTTGACTCCATGAGCGCAACTCCCATGGTGCTACTGTGACTTCACGTCAGTTTATATTTCCTTGTGGGATCTTCATTGATACGCCACCGAGATGTGCAGCCTCGAACCTGTCTATTATCCATGGAGTAAAAGCTTAATTTGGAAGCCTCGCCCGAGTACGGTTGGAATTTGGATGTGAGCATTGGGCACGTGCTGGATTTGGTGTTGTCAGCACTACGATGACCTCCTCCGGCACTTCTGGTTACTACGTTGGCTACGACTACGTTTTTGGCCCCGGCAACATCTGCGCGGGGGGTACCAGCCGCTGGACCAGCTACGCACCGACGTTCACCGAGGGATTTTTTAGCACTTCAGGTACGTCACCCCACTTTCGTAGGCACGGAGTGGGTGGTGATGAGGTGCTAAATCCTGTTCCCTTTCTTATGACCGAACAAAGAATAAGCCCGTAATTATAAATTTTGCAACTTTTCCATAAAACATTGATTGAATTATCAACTTTATTGCAATAATAACCTTAAAGCTTATACAAACGTGTGGTAAACCCTTTTTAAGAACTCGAAAACCTTTTTGCTACGATGCGCATCCTTTTCTCACCTTGTCTGGAAAAGGACCCTTTTCGCAATGAGCCCTTTTTAACGTCAAAGCATTTTTTTCATGATCTCTGTAATCACCGTTTCGTTTTTGATTGTTCAGGATTTACGGGTTGGGCAGACGCGGAAGCAAGGCGCAACTCTATTGATACTTCACTCACACACAGTGAAGTGGAGTCACTACCGCAAATTTTGGAGGCAGTATCGAGCAAGTTTAGGGATGATGGCATTAATGTCATCTAGTAATTTTTCACTGAAGAAAAGACTATTTGAACCTTGCTTGTAATCGTGTTTTGTTTGACCTCACTTCCTTTTGATTAGTTTCCTCGCTTTCCAAAGTTTTGTCCAAGCGCATACTGTGACCTGTGACCTACAGGTGCGTAGCACGGTACTCGAGATGCCGTTTCCAATCTCTACGACATTTAGTTAATACTTTACGTGCTACGTATTTATTGCGATGCTCAGTTAGCACGATCGCAAAGGATGCATAGAAGCCGATGACTAATATTTTCGGTTTAAATTGAACTTACGAAGGGCAAAAATGCAAAACTAAAACAAAAATAAAACAATTTCAGTGATGATTCTATTATATGCAGAAGAAAGATGCAGAAACGAGACAAATCTTATATTTTAATGCGGAGCATTCTCCTAAGTTCCAGTCACTAGTAACTCTTGCACGCTATGATCTCAGCGTTAAGGAAATATTCTCACCCACGAACGCCTAAGCCAACGCCGCCGTTGGAGTGCGTTGTGGCTGACACCACCTGTGGGAGCTGTTATTCCTGACGAGGTCAATAGCGGCCAATGCTAAAATGCGAAATTCTTCTCAAGTGGCGTCTTGTGGCTTTGAGCAATGGCCGCCATCTTGCTAGATCGACATTTCAAGGGCCTGGAGCTTCACGAGACCAAGTTTGTGCATAAATTCGGACATACAAGGTAACAGAATTGCCTTGCCACTTTAAATTGACCACTGAGAAGACATGGGAATCAATGTTTTATTTTACGTCTGACATGTGGTTAATAGGGTATTTCTGAAATCATTCATACTCACAAAATCTACTTTAATTTACAAATAGCTAATGATTCTGGTTGAGGATTTTTATGTTACATTTGCAGGATGGAATTGTGATACTAAATGAGATGAAAAGAAAAGAAGGAAGAGAAGGCAGGAAATAACATGTCATCCACCCGATCGCTGAAATGCTTAGAGCGGGTAAAGCAATAAGCTTCGTTCACGCAACTTCCCATGTTAAAACAACATCAGTAATAAAAACATACATGCAAATTCAACTTAGACGAGCGTCTACTGAATGCAAGCACATTATTTGACAAACCTGGATATATTTATTGTATGGAATTTATTGCTTTGGTGCATTGAATTTATTATTTAATTTATTTATTGTATTGAATTGTATTGAATGCATATGTAATGAATTAGTAGTATTGGCACAGCAACAAACAATGAATGTATGCTCCAAATGTAAGGTCAGTTGACAATTAACAAATTATTGGTGTATTCGATGCTAATTTTCCAATACATTATAGCGTCTTTTACAACAATGCAATAAAAATTGGCCAGTTACTTGATCTATAAATTCTCTGCTGATGTTCAATAAACTCTGAGTACATCTTACAAAAATGTCCTCATTTCTCATCCTATTCGAGCCGCTGAGAAATAGGATTAAAAACGCACTGAAATAAAATATGTCTTTCTTGTTGCTTATTTGTTCCACAAACAACTTTCTATTATGAGTATAAACAAATTCCACATAATTTCGTTTTGCACTCATTATTCATATTAATAACAAACATCATTTAATAAAATAACTGAAAATATAAATAACTCCTACTGAAAAATGTTCAATATGAGACTTCTTAGATGAAAATTCTGAGAATTTCGTAACTTTTCACCCTTCGATACACGGCATAACAATTAGTAAAGGCTGCATTCATCGAAATTTGAAAGATTTTTATTGATTTATGTAAGAGTTAATAGTACGGACTCCAAAACCGTTTATTGGGAGTCTTCTAAGCCATTAATTCCATCGTCAAATATTCACTGACATGCAATAAAAGCGATAGATATTCCAGGCCATTTTCACAGTCCGAAATATCATTCTGCTAATAAGGTAGGTTGAATGCTCGCATTATTGAATATTTTAATGTTTTCAGAGAATGTCAGCATGGAAATTTTAACATTTCATACTATATATTCGAGGAGTGTAAAATAATCTTCACTGAAGACGATCCGCAAATGATTTAGGCTAACGGAATTCCGGAGTAACATTTCGTCACAATACAGACATTGATTTCATCAATAGCAAAAAGATCGATTAAAAATATGCCGTTAGGTCCAAAATAGTTTTAAAAATTCTCGGATAATGTAGCATCCTTTTCAAAATGCAACGCTTAGGATCCCATATTTATTTGCAGGCACCGAATTATGGAGTTTCATTGTATTTGTTTCTTACATATTTTCGTGACCGGAGCGACCCGGGAGATAATGCAGCCGAGCAGGACAATGAGCGCCAAATATTTCCGGCATAAATCCAGGTTTTAAAGCCTTTCATAATGATTAAGGAACAAATATCCTCTCATAGCACCGCCCACAGCCTCATCTCGAGCGAGTATAAATAAGAGCAGGTGAGGGGAGATGAGGACATTCACGTCACAGCCGTTCAGCTGACCTGAGCGAGCGGCTCCTTCTGAGGGTTGCGTTAAAATTCCTTGCGGATACAATTTTTCCTATTGTGACTGTTGTTGGCACGTTGCTTTAGAGGACGCAGTTTCTGACTATTTAGAAAGCCAATGAGCAGCCTCCAATGTATTATTTTATGCATTATTCACGAGTTTGGATAAACATTTGTCTTCAAAGGAATTTTTTTCCCGTGAAATTTATTGCTCCGTTTGTTAACTGCAATTGTCTCAGTCTGGACAAACATATTTCCTATAAATTCGGTTCAATAATTGAACAAAAATATATTTTCTAAAACATAGTCATATTTTAGTCAAATTCAGCAATCACTCGCTTTTTTTTTAATAAAATTGCATAAAAGAATTTTATAACTAATCTAACTAAACAAAATATCACCTTTCATTTTCCCTCAGAACATTGGTAAAAATTTACCATTATCGAGAAATTAGCAGCAAATTCCATAGTTTTTAATATTCTTTTCAGGATTCTGTGTTAACCATCGTTTCTTTATCGTATTAAATACAAATTCAATAATCATCCATTTCAACGCAACGCAGCAGCAGCCACAGCAAAATAACAGGTGGGATTTACAACAACAACTGAGGAAAAGTCAAGAGGTGGCTCAGAGTAAGCAGAAGCGCTAATTTTTTTAGACATGTTACCAATCTGTTGTGCAATGAATTTTTGTCTTGTTACCGGCATCGAAAACTGGCATAGCGTTGATACCGGTACGGGTAAAATAGCTCACCGTTGATACCAGCAAGGGTAAACTAGCTCACCGTTGATACCGGCAAGGGTAAACTAGCTCACCGTTGATACCGGCACGATAATAGGCACTAAGTTAAAAAATTTATCGAATTTTTATACCTATTAATTATTTCACACAAATGCTATATGGACTTTGTACGAATTATCGATTTATTTGAAACAAAAGCAACTGAAGCATATTGATGAATGGCGTACATATCAGAAATAATTTCTGAAACTTCAATTCAATGATCAATTTCAAAATTCTCATAAAAAGGACTTTTTGGGTCAAGTTTGAAACTAGGGATTCAAATTTTGTATTTTATAATTTATGAGAAATCTGTTTTAAAATGTACGCCTTGAAGTCAGTCCAGGTTACAGTCAGGCGGACCATAAAGTGCGGATAAACTGTCACAAACGCTTTTTTGATCAATATCGTTGCTTTAATTCTTCTTTATTTTTATTTAGATTTTTTTTATTTATTTTTTTTTATTTATTTTTAAACTCACATTCATTCTTGTACACCAAGCACACTTGCTGAGTGCTTGCCAGTTGCACTTTGTTCGTTCGCAGTGGAGCCAAAAAGCAGACATTTTCTTGTTAAACATTTTCTTCTTAGGCCATACATGAAACTCGTCCCGAACTCCTTAACCATAAAAGCCTCCCCATTTCGTCTTGTTAAGACTTCGCAGGGCTTATGCGGCTAGTGCCTCTTTCACCTCCCCAACTTTAATACCAACGAACATATTTGTGATGTAATTATCACTTACAAGTAAGCTTTTATTCAGAAAATACGTCCGCAATTTGTGTTTAATTATTGGTAAACACTAAGTTAATATTGCATTCCACTTTGACTTGGCTTTGCGTGAAGAATAGGGGTATACTAAAAATATTTTAGTCTCAAATAACCTGCCAACCAATATGCAAATAATATCTAGATTTCAAAATTTTAAGGCCGGTAGTGTAGCGAAATATTTGTGAGCATCATATTTGATTCCTAAAATGAAGTTAGGATCGAATTGCCACACCGAAGTCTACGGAAAACAAAACCAGGATTCAAATTACTTTTTCAGGCAGACAAAAGCCCACACGCAGCAATTAGGGTCAGATGCAGTGGTTTGAACGTAGGTTCGTCAAAAGTAGACGATAAATAAATACGATTCTTAGTTAAAATGGATCAGTTGAGCTATTATTTACCATATTTAAAGCTTGCAGATCTGATTTCACAATTAAATTTATTATTTAGAATAGGATGTAAAAATAGGAACTATTCACGTTACTGAGCAGAACCGAATGAGATGTGAGAAGCTCAGCATTTTAAACACAAGCTTACCAGAAATATAATACTTTTGATTCCAATGTATCTATGGAACTAGACCGCCACAATTGAATACGATGCAAGTAAAAACATTATGCTCTTGAAAAGATTATTCATCTTATTTTCTACAGCTTGTTTAATTTAATTATGAATCCATTCAAATCTTGGATTCAATTACATTTTAAATTTCGATCTAAAATTAAATGATTCCCACTGACAAACGTGTTTTCCCAAATTCGACAAAATAAAAAAGTCGTACATTATTGCCACTGGAGCATAAACTTTAGTTTAAAATGAGTCTGCTCATTCTAGAAATACGGTATTCGGATTCACTTGAATTTCACGCCGTGTGTAATAAATGATGTACACTTGTTCAAATATTCTGGTATCAAATTATCCAAAAAAGTAATTAAAGGCAAATAAAAAATCCTTACAAGTGGTAGTCCATTGAAAGCAAACAAGCGTCGCGCTCAGTTCACCGAGCGCCAAACAAGAATGAAATTCTCAGGCACAGATTAGTTTCCTGGTAACCTAATGAGGTAACTCGTTAAACAGCCGGACTTGTTTGATGTGTGGGCCCTTCAGAACTCTAATTTGATCATACAAATCGATCGAATTTCACATTGAATTTTATAACTCGAGGCTTGATTGCGTGCGATCAAAAAGGGCTAAGTCTAATTCACGGGATTCAATACTTGCGATCATAGAAAGATAAATTTATTTAATAAATCAACCAGGACGGGATTTTGAATTAAAATTTTGAACGGGCATTTGAGCGGTTAAATCTTATCCTATGATCTGCTGGAATATAAATTTGAAAAAATGTGAGCAAATAATAGAATAAATGCTAAAATGAATTCATTTTTCTTTATTGAATTAGTTACCGGCAAGCCAATATATCTATAATTATACAATAAATATTTTACTCATAGACTATAAATATGAAGCGTTTTTTCAAACTAAGATGAAAACTGAATTTATAGTGTTAGGCTCTTGATTGAACCAGAAAGAAGCCTATACAACCCATCGTAAATTAACAATGTTAATGTACGCGTTAATTGGCTCTATGGGACGTGATGGTAGCTAACTTAAATATATTTAATATTGAACGTATATCTGCGGTGGCAGATAAGACGGCTGATGGATCGCTGGACACGGCAGCACTAATTGCTAGGGCCGCCTGCGCGTCGTGCCTCCACTGCACGGTCACGAATATTCGTTCATTATGTGGGAACACGAATATGTGCGACAGAGGGTGAGGGCTCACTGCGAGGGAACACAAAAATAAGTGCCAGAGGAAGAAGGTTCACTGAGATGGAACACGATTATGCACTACACGACTACAGGATGAAGGGGTTCACTGTTCACGGCATGCGGGCACGAAATTGCACTTCACTGAGCAGGAACACGAATACGGCTTCCACTTATTTGCGCTTAACGAATAGCCTTGATAGGAAAAGTGGTTTTTCTCTACAAGAACACGAATATGCGATTCATAAATATGCACCTTAGAAAAGAAAGTCAACTATGCGGGAGCACAAATATGTGGTACGTTAGGTGAAATGATTGCGGTATGCATGAACCGATGTTCGGAAATACACTTCATATTACCTTTTTCAATCCTTCCTTTTCACTCCCTCCTCTCTTTTCCAGCCCCTCTCTCTTTACTTCCTGACTCTATTCTACAAACCACGCTCCAACAGTCCATTGTCCCTCATTAACCTCTAGTTGTTCTTTCATTCTATTCCACCCACAAAGTTATTCCATTCTAGTCTTTAAAGTAAGTTCCTCCTCATAATGTCACCTAATTTAGATCATACACTCCTCCATTCCAACAACTTCAGTCCTCATCTTTCAACTCCCTATTCCTCTTCCCTTTTCCCCATTCATCTTCCAGCCCCCAAGAAGCCCACGCAGGCAAGGGGAATTTATTCCCATCATCAAATTACAGACTGCGAGCGCCTTCCCCTGGGGCCGCGCTAGTCTTTTCTCGCGCGATGGGCGATGACCTTTGTTTCAGGCTTCATTTTTATCCTGCTTCGTATTATACTATAAGCAGCAATGCTATGGAGTTTAAAAGTTGTTAATGTTTAAAGTACATATAACTTTAATGATATTCACTTTTGGATGACAATGTGCAGCGATGATGAAACAAGCTAAGGCAAGCCCGGTGCTGGTCTTGGCCCTGCTGGTGCTGGCATCGGCGTCTCTGCTACTGGACGTCGCTACCGCCTTCTCGCTCGACTGCAGGTCTCCGGCACTACATATATTTTACCTATGGACTATACATATGAAGCGTATTTATTCTAGGATGAAAACTGACTGTATTTATTCAATCGAATTCGTGTAGCCGGTTCTAGTTGATCTCGCACAGTACGTGAAGCAGCCATTATTTGATTTACTTCATTTACTTTGAGGAACGATTCGTTGGTATGCAATTAATTGTATTAGAATTCTTGAATCACTAAACAATCGCACATCAAAATTTATGGTTAAATAATTCAATTAATTTATCAATTTATTCAATTTATTTACGCATAAATTTAAACGTCGATTACAACACTAAATTGTTTCCGTTTCTAATGCCCTTATTTTCAAAAAATGAAAAAAGTTTAATCGTTAGTCAAGTCGGGTCGTGGAATTTATTCTAGAAAATTTTCACTTAACAAAGTTGTTTTAAATTCCAGGAAATTCGTGTTCGCTCCTCAGTGCCGCGGCATCGTCGCCAAGAGGGCTGCCTGGGAGCGGGGGGTCATGGCTCCCCCCGCTGACTACATGTGAGTCTCCCCCCCATCCCCCCACAGACGTCAACAAATATACACAGGATTTCACCAAGATTTGAAAGTAGAGAAAACGTCATTTAAATTCATTATAACTTCAATGAAAATGTTTTCATTGAAGATGAGATGAATTTATATGTCATTCTTTGCTTGTAAATTCTTGGCGAACATGCGATATAAGAATACTAATGATATCAGTATTTTTGTGAGACGTAAATTCTGCAGGATTTTTCCACATTTTCCTTGTTGGTTGAAACACTGAAGCAGGCCCTGCAGTATGGAGAAGTTCCCTTGAGTCTGATTGGTCGCCTAAATAAAAGAAATAGAAAGGCATTTGAATTCCTGTAAGAGAACTTGAAAGCATTTGAAAAATTCCAAGAAGAAAAGCTGTTCACATCCTGGAGCAAATCCTTCCACGGTGAAAAGTCTTGTTCGTTAAACGGGAAATGAATAGACAATACTGGGAGATGTGGAAGTTAGAAATCCCATGGATCTTTCCTAGATATTTAATTTATTGTCACGAAGATTTCATACTTCGAATTTGAGTGAAACTGTGTATTAATAATGATATAAGCGAATACGTGTTCGTTAAAGCAAGTCCAGGTCTAACCTACGAATAATTTAGACTGGATTTGAAGAGAATAAACCAAAGATCAGTAAAGATCACATCTATGTCGCCCGAGGTAACGATTTTCCCATCTCGTGCTATTGTATGTAATTCTTAGCTCATGTACCACAAACAATGGCCGACCGATGCTGGGCTAGAATAAAGCTTCACTTGCACCGCAGTTCCGCTGAGACTTTGCCGTCCCTGAAGCCGGCGCTGGAGGGGACGATCATAGACGTGGACGACGATGCGGCGTACAAGACGTACGAGGGCCTCGAGGACCTCAGGACTGCTGACGAAGAGGACGACATCGAGAACGAAGCCAGGGACGAAGCCAGGTTCTGGGCGAGCGCCAGAAAACAGATGGCTCGTATCAACCAACTCAGGCGGTTACAGAACGACAAAGTGAGCAGAACTTGTAATGGTAGTGTGATAATAACACTTTAAGTTAATGATTTTTAATTAGTGATTGAAAATTAAAATGAAATTATATAATCAATATAATAAAATAATTGGCGGACACAATTTCTTCCCTCGTTAAAATTATATGATGATACATAATTACCATCTCGATTAAAATCCCTATGATTAAATTATGTTTTCGATATGTGTTTTATAACCATTATGAATAATGTAACTCACTTTATTAATCTAAAGGAGTGAACGGATACTACCAACAATGATGTATGATTCAAAATTCTGAAATTGAAACGATAAGTGTTACTACAACACAAATTTAAGAAAATTTATTTACTAATTTATGGAATTTTGAAAATTTTCCTTGCCCAATCACGACAAAAGTATTTATAATATTGTTGTATACATTCTCTCGTAGGCGACCGACATCAGAGAACTAGCCATAATTTGTATGTCGCGCTCGTGTCATTGCATGCGTAATATCAATTCAAATAGTAATTTTTGGATTGAATTTAATTTATTAATTAGTACGATGCATATTATTTGTGCGGCAGGATGGCAGGCCGCAGAGATATGCACCTCACGTTGTCCGCACCCGCAGCACCAGCGGCCCCGTCCGCAAAACTGTCGTTCGTCCATCGTCTTCCGGCGCCGCCAACAACTAAATAAATTACTTTACCTTTATTCCATGAACAAAGTAAAGAACACATGCCTATTGCAAAACTTTATCTCAACAAAGTTGATGAAATGAGATAAAATTTGCTTAAAATTTTATTTAAAATTTAAGAGGAAAGTTAAGTGATCGTTTAGTGGAAACTAAGAAACAAATAAATCGTCACTCATCGACTGGTTTGAAGTTAAGATCAAAAATATATCTTACGTAATTAATTTGATTTCCTCGTTCTCTGTGGTTGAATCAAGACTATGTCTAGCAGATCTTTTCCCGTAAATATATTAATTTGTGTTATTTCAGCAATAATATATAATTTATTCTATATGAATTTTTAGAGATCTTTTCAGAACCTTTTTAAGTCTTGATCAAATTTCTATGCCTAGTTATTTGAAAGTCACAGAGGTCACAAAATGTAAAAAGGCAGCGTGTGTCGTTTCATCAAATATCTAGTGAACAGAAAATTCATTTTAAAATATAGTGAGTAAAAGTAAAAAACGCTGGCAATAACGTTGACATGGATTTTAGAGGAAGCGGTTAATTTGGTCAATCGACAAGCTAAATAGGGTAAACGTATCCAATTTTTAGTAAAATGTATAAGTTTGTTTCCAAAGCACGTACTAGATATTTCAACAGCCAATAAAACAATGTTCAGAGCATTATGATGACTTTGCATTTTCAACCTGATACCAGTGGCAGTGATTTCATTTTCCCACACCCTGATACCACCAGTGTGTATTCAATGTCATTTAATGAATACTACATATAAACATTTTTGTGAGCATAAATAATACTTCTCGATTTTATTTCTTCACGACCTAATTCATACATTTCCGATCACATTTATAATTTTTGTTGATTTTTTTCACTATATTATCATCTACCTATATAGTTTTTCCTACCAGCATAAATGTGGCCGACATTTTCAGCCTTAAAAGTATTGCAGAATTTTCCAAGGAAATTTTCCCTAAAAATTAACTGAAGAGAAATCACTCGATTCGGAAAACAATTTCAAGCGAGACGACCTCATTTCAGGCTTCCCAAAACACTCCTACGCTGAGAGGCTGTTTTCTTTAGCAGCCAAAAAAATAATCGAATAATTACATTGGCGACAGAACTTTCGATCGGCAAAAGTAGCCTAATCTCGAATACAAAAGAAAGAACGGGGCTGAAAACAATTTTTCCACCAAGGAAGCATTTGATGTATGAATCATTACAATGGGGATAAAACCTCCCAATCCTGACAAACAGAAAGAACAATTGATCGTGGCTATGGTAATAAGACGTAAAAACAGCATTGGATAAGATGGCTTGTATCTGATTGGTCATTTAGTAATAATGTCAGCTGATGGGGGAAATTTGACTATTTAAAATATAATTCCTTGAAACTGTTTGTAAGTACTTGAGTGGTTCATTCAGAGAAAAATTGATCAAGGTTTTTATATAATTTTTTTGTGTTCTCATTGACTGTAACCGCTGTGATATTTCAGTGGAAAGTGAAGCATAAATATAGTATACACTACCACTGCTAAGCAAAAGTGTTTTACAAACAATCATATTAGTTTTACTTACAGATTGTATGACCAATGGTGGCTTACTTCAAATAGAAAGTCAACATTTAATCTAGCTCATCATAGCGTCACTTTACTCAATTTGCAGGTAGAAAATAAATGAACTTTTTCGTTTAGATTGCCAATGAAGTAAACATTTCTTCAGTAATTGCTTCTAATGGCATTGGAAGCCACTTAATCGTTGATCTATTCATCAATAATTCTGCAATACGGTTAGTGATTATCATTGGTCGTGTTTTCTGCTAAAATAAATTCATTTTCACGATTTCTGGAGTAACCGAGCGATAAGGGTTTCAATGAAGGAATAGCTCATTTGAAGGCGACGATGATGATGCTTCTGCTTATACGCTCTTAAAACTGCAATGAATGTTGGCTGTCATTGAGTACTCGTCCCCAATTGCTGTGACTCTGGGAGCTTCGAAGGAAATTTCGCTGACCAGATGATGTTTGGTGTTATAAGACTATATAATTTGGTGTTATAAGACTATAATTTTCCATTTGTAGGAGTCCAGTAGAGCGTCATTATTAAAGAAAACTAACAAATGGAAGTGCAACTTCCGACTGAGGCACGCAAAACGTTCAAAGGGAAAGCGTTGATATACCTATAAGAGAATATAAAAGCCAAACATAAACGTTATTCAATTTCCTAATTTAAAGAACTCAAATTTCAGAGTACTATGGTTAATCGTGTAGCGGTAGACAATAGTATAGAGATACAGACTTCCATCTGTAGCAACTATATGAACGGTCTTATACCGCGGCGTTTTTACTCGTTTAATTAAATCTTTCAAAATAGGTTTTTCATTGGAACAAGAATCGGAAACCTCGACCAGTACGGGCCACACACAGGAAATATTTATTTAATATAAAAACCGTAGCTTGAATTAAAAAAGGTTGAATAATATACACCAGAATTAATGATCAAGTTAAATATTTCTGTACAAATTGTGATATAAAATAGACCAACATGACCTTTACACACTAAACAAGATCTACAGAAAACACAGAACAATTTTATACCCCAAAAGCATAGACCAGACACAACAGTAAAGCCAACTCGAGACAATAGGACGAAAGTAAACATAAGGTATGAAGCATTGACAAAAATCATAATCGAGGATCGAGTGAAGTTAGTAAATAATACCAAGAACCAAAAGACAAAAAAAAAATAAAGCCAGAATTCCATAGAGAAAGTCACAGCGCACGTTAATTTTTTAGCATGGAAACTACTATCAAGTCTATTTTAGGAAGCAGACTTGAATTCCGGCAGGAAAAAAAAAACTAGAATTTCTGCTCAGCCGAAGTACGTCCACGAAAATTTTTTAAACGAAACTTCACAATAAGCCTTAGACACGGAAATGAAAATATGGAATTTTTCTCGCAAAGGGTTCAATAAAAACACGCTCCAAAATCTATAATGATAAATATTTGAAGTTAATAAAGAAATGAAATTTCACGTGTCAAAATTTTATCTTAGAATTTGATGAGCATAGAATGCCAATCGCATGGGCCCATTGTGTTTGTAATCGCATAGAAACTGTCGATTACTAAAATACCGTACGCGATAATGATGCTGGTCGTATAAGGAACTTCAGAGGCTAAAAATTAAAGTCAAGATATTTTCCAATTAGAAAACAGTTCAGTGCATTCAAAGCTAAGCCTTAGTTTGAACACACATTTGTCTGGAGTAAGCGTCATCTCGTAGTCGGTGAAAAGTAGCTGCTACAATGAATAAAAAATATTAGTTTTTGTAAGCAACAAAATGATAGCTTTTGTCATTGGACTAACAACACACGGGGAGCCAAACGGTGGACTAACTCAGTGAAACACGCGAATCCAAACGGTGATTTCCACGAACAATAAAAACGCTGAAAATAGAAGAAGTAATTGACAAGTTTTCACACTTTGAACACGAAAAAAAATTATGGTTGCGCGCCCTCTTTTTTAGCATGCAACCATATTTAGAATCCGGTTATTGAGAAGATAAAAATCTCTTCATTCGAAAACTTATATTTACTTATAACTCGTTTCATTGTTTCGAGAGCGGAAGATGAGTACAGAATTTTGAGGAAATGCCTTTTATTGAGAAAATGAGGTACTAGCCTCGTTGCTGAAATAATTACGAATCGAATTTAAATTCAACTAAAACGTCCGTCACAAGTTGAACATATGACGAGTACCATGTGCGAGAATTGTTACAAGTGATAGAAAACTAATTTAAGTTTCTTAGAGGAATCAACAGTATGAGTAAACACAACTCTATATATGATTAAAATAAAATACAAAAACACCTAAAGCATAGCCCAATATTTGCGAGAAATGAATTATGTTTCGATGACGGTTCAAAATTGATAATATAATTTGTTAAAAATAAAACCACAATCAAATATAACAACTTGTGGCATACAATCAAATCAAAAATGCCTTAAAATTTACAGCTGGGCTCATTCACAATGATAGTTAAGTCTTCATGATATGAGGGCCATACATAAATTTATTGGCAACATGACGTCCTGCGCTACAAGGTGAACTAGAAATGTACAGCAAATTCAGTAAAATAGGAGCTAGAGTTCAAGGCACGCCCAATAGAAGAAAATAGTGGTCATGAAAAGTAAGGCACTAGGAGCACACGTATTCATATATACCAGGCATTATCCGACTTATGGCCTTCAGTAATTCGAACGGAAATACCTTCCCTAACACGCGAGCGAGACAATTTTATAGTCCTTTATTCAAGCGAGTGAAAACTTGAATATTTCTACTTAAAAAGGGCGAGATGAATTAATTTAATTTTAAGGTAACTAAGAATTTTGAGTGAAAGGACGTGACATTACCTCGACTTTTCCATAAAAAATGCTTCTCAATTACCGCTTTGCTCAGAGAGTACATTCTCACACAAAATTCTAATATTCAGAAGAACTAGAGGGAGCTCATTAAAGAAATATATGAATATAGGTGCGTATGAATAAATACATAGTTGCGTTCTCGGGTCGTGCCATGACATTATGGAGCAGACCTCCATGAATATTTGTTAATAAATAAGCTTTACTACACAGCAGAGTAACCGCATGCAAGGGCGTGAGCAATCAAGTAGAGAGCGCATTATCATTGTCATAACCTTCAGTACAGCATAGTAGAGCCACTGGAAACAGAAAAAATAACTCAAGACTTGAAACTAACTTGCAAGAGATCTCCATGAAGGAAAAATAGATTAAATTTTACCAGTTAAAAATGACACCAATCTTTGTGAACTATTGCAGCGGTAAGATCTCAGTATCGCCTTTTGAAAATTTTACATTAACAAGTAGCCATGTAAGACAAAGCATCATTTCACAGATGGGATAGGCCTATACCTTTAAATGAATAATTTACTTAGATTATTCTGGAAAAACCATTCATATCGTGACCAACATCAATTAAATAATGAAAAGAAAATTTGCCACCAAAAAATAATGAAAAAATTCACATGGAAGCAATGAGCTGCAAGTTACATAAGGTAAAAGGATTAGACGTAACATAAGCGAGTGTCAATAATTAAATGTTTTCTATATTACAACAAATTATAGAGAGATATATATACGCGGTTGAAAATTAAATGACGCAATCCAAAATACAGAGCTGCTCTCCAGTGAGCTCATTCGCTGTAATTTGTGTAATTTTAGACCTTAATCATGTGAATGTTGAATCGAAAGGCGAACGAAGATTGGATTTCCGGTTTCCTATCGGCAAATGAGGGATCAGATCTGACAAGTACGTAATAGAGAAGGTGAATCAATTTACTAAGTAATAATAATATGCAATAATAAACCCGCAGCCGCGGCACAATACATCGTCATAACGACCAATTCATCTCTCGCATCTTTTAATCCTCAAAAATACAGTGAGCAACAGTGAAAACGATAAAAAAAAAAACTCAAAGGGAAAAATAACTAGAATTTTCTACGGCGGGAATCATTGAGATATCTCTAGGTTAATAATTCTTCAACGGTCAACGCGAAATATTATTAAAACAACACAGGTAATGAAATAGATCAACATCGAGGCCACAATAGGTATAAATACTACACCACAGTTCCTTCAAGAGAATTTCGCCCTAGATCCTCTAATGCAAGATTCCTCACACTCGTACACGCCTGCTTTCATATGCTCTGTTCCCCCTGGATCATTTTTATTTAGTCTCCAAACTGTCTGAAGGCTCAGTTGATGGACATGCCTCCGAGACACGGGAAGTCTGCCTCGCGGTGCACGGCGCGGTGGTGTTCCAGGTCCTCTGAACGCAGCACTTGGCAGCAGCGCTCACACTCATTCAGGTCCAGGGTGCTGTCGGGACCAGTGGTTTGATCCACCTGAAGGTACCCCGTGTACACAGCCTGCAGTGCAAAATTAACAATTAGAACAAGGAACGTCCCTTTACCTGGAGAGAATAATGAACGTGATTTCTGCACAACAAAATTAACATGTAGTAAGATGTTAGGTCTGAATGGCGAAGGCGTTTTAATTTACCTGTTGCATGCTGATATCAGGCAGGAGTCCGAGTAGTTCAGGCAGAATGGAGAGCAAAGTTTTGCGTCCCATCAAGTCCCGGCACTGCTCGTAATAAGCTCGGCCATCCAGGGTACCATTTCTCAAGTTGACAGCCAGCGACTTGAACCTGAACAATACGAGATCTTCACGATAACACAAGAAACAATGCGTTCAATACATTAGATTTGGATAACAGAATTTCTTAAGAAAAATAAAAAAAATTATAATTATTATATTATTTAAAATCTTGATAAAAAAGTCAGAAGAGTCATGACACTAGAAATTGTTAGTTCACTCACGGATACGCAAGAAATAGGATGGGAATAGAAAACGCATTAGATTAAAGCCGTAAACAGTCTCCTATTCACTCAATCTGTGTTGAGGAATAAGTGGAACTCACCGCTTGAACTGCTCCGTATTCCGTCCGCACTGATCTGAGATAGTTTTGATGAGGAGCTGGTTTCTTTGTTCAAAATCTTCAGGCGGGATAAACTTGTGCTTTTTAATTTTATCTTTCTTCCCTTTCTGGGCATTGCCCGGCTTGGGAACTGCGACGTCGTTTGAACTATCATTAGATGGCAATATGTGATAAGATTCGCCGTAACTATTGTGAAAAGTCATATCAGTTGTTGCCAAATTGCTACTCTCGCCTTTCACATTCTTCGGTGCAGGATTTTTAGAAGTTACATTCGCCCATCCATTGGCTGTTCCATTGTTCTCAGAAGCTACTGCGGTTTTCTTCTTACTGTTATTCCCGCCCTTACCTCCAAGCGAAGGAAACTGGCCAGTAGAATTCAATTTGGGAACTGGAGTTTTCAAAGATCCTATTCTTAATTCAGATTTCTTTCTAGCCTCGAAAGTATCAGCTGACAACAGTGTCATGTTCGAGGACGCTTCAGGAACTTTAGAGACGTGGTTATACACTTCATAATCACGACGAGATGGCGCAAAGGTAACGCCAAAATTTGGTTCTTCCTCCTCTTCCTCTCCATCGCTGGCGTCGAACACGTTACCAAGTCTCAAGGGCCGCTTCTTGTTCTGTGACGTACCGTTCGTGACCACGTTGGGTGGCGCGGCACCCGAGTTCTTTTTCTTGTTGTTGGCCGTGTTCTTGACAGCAGATGACGAAGAAGGTTCAACTTCTGAAGGAGGAGTTTTTACCGTGGGTGTGGCGGCAGGAACATATTCGGTTTTCTTGGTCCACGAATTGTTAACAGGTACAGTAACTTTTGACATGCCGTGGTAGTTTTTCATCCCGTTATCTGATCTTGAGTCGGAGCCAAGCGAAGGAAAATCTTTGGAGCTCGGAGGTTTCTGAAACCCATTTATTCGGAGCTCTTTACTTTTCACCGACGTCGTTTTAGCTGAAGATATATTAGAAGCTAGAGGAGGTTTTTTAGAAGACTGCTGCATGGGTGCAGTAGTAATGTTGAATGAATCAGCTCCACCGAAAGTTGCTGTGAGCGACTTGGACGGTTGGCGAAGTGAAGGAAAGTCTTTTGCCGAAGCATTCTCTTTATTGCCACCACCAAAATTGTTCTTGGACTTGGGCATAACATTTCCGGATTTTCCAGACGAGACCGCATTTGCAGAGGTGTTATTGTTCCTGTTGACTTTAGGTTGTTTTTGCTCAGTAGAGCCGCTGGTGCTGCTGTACTGTATGGACACCCCGCCCCTGGCTCCATCACTACCACCGCCCCTCTTAGCATTGACTCTGAGATGCAGGCTGGTCGTGGGACTGCCAGCATAATTGCCGCGCGTCGACGGCTGCGAAGCGGCAAACGAGCTGCCAAGAGCTGGAAACTCTTCCTCCATACTGGCTACGTTGCCGCGCATTGCCCGCAGAGTGAACGATCTCGAAGACTGGGCACTGTTTCTTGGTAGGTCCATCGTCTGGTTACCTACAGCAAATAGTGAGCAAGTCAAAATGACATTATGATAACATCCTGAATGTCACACTCATTGTTAACATGCCATCTCGTTAACTAAAGCAAACAGTGACTAAGTTTACCTGACAAGAGTAATGTATAACGCACTACCAATAAATTCAGGGCATAGCCATACACAATATTTCAACGAAGTGAAATAACGAAAATTCAGAATTGTTTCATGTCGACGAGATAACTTGGTGCGCGTGTGCCTCTACAGAGCAGAATTGTATCACAGGCAAAGAAGACATAAGGAGTTCTCACCCAGGGTGGGGAAGTCCTGAACGCAATTGATGTCAATGGAGTGTTGAGGTGGGGGAGGAGGAGGCAATTCCTCAGCAGGGGGGGAGTCATCCCAACCTCCTCGACTGTAAGCCAGTAATTATAATTAAAATAGTAATGAATAAAATTGGAAAGCGAGGAAAAAGTAGCTGTCATAACCGTCCTAGCATTAAGATTTTTTACGATATAAGTCTAGCTTAAAATACTCACTATTGTTTGAATTTTATACCATTATAACCTAGGCAGACTTGAATTTAGTTTATATCTATATCAATTTAAAATTTAAATGATATATTCACTCATGAATAACAAATATTTTGAATGAGGAATACATGACGGTATTGAATCAAAGTCGATGCTTGCTTCAGAACAACTAAAGAACCACGCATCAACAAATTCCACCAGCAGTACGGCTCTTTAACCAATTATCACTAGAATATTAGACCTTGACTAACAGATTCCACAATCAGTACAGGTTTTAAACCAATTTTTCCCATCATATCAGACCCTGATCTGCCTCTGCCTCCTCTGCCGCGACCACCGCGCCCCCTGTCGTCACGGTGCACCAGAGACGGCGCGTGATTCACGGTGAACTCGATGTCCACCGTGCGCGCCTGACGAGCGGCTCGTTTGTTGTCCGCGTGGTTGTCCAAGAAGTGACCTGACCAATCAGAAAAAATCACATCAAACTAAAGCAAAACTAATACAATAAACCTACCACTTCCCTAAGTAACCAAGGAAAATCTAGTAAATTGATTTTTTTAACTTAATTACATTTTGCGTGCAAATAAAGCTTAAGAAACTTTACAGGACATTAAATTAACGAGTGTTTTCCATAAAATTTTCATCAACTTCAAAACCTTTTTGACAAAGCTGGATGGTATTATGTGATTAAGTAATAAAGCAAAGCATTTATTTAAAAAGTATTCCGACTAATTACAAATTTTATGATATTTATGAGCAATTAATTTATCATCAATAATGAAATGAGTTAATAATCAATAATGAGTCAATAATTAAATTAATATTTAAGAGTGAATAATTAATATTTACGAGTGAATAATTAATATTTCACCTTGCAAGTCAATTTTGTCGCGGAAGACTGCAGTAAATTGTTCATTTTTACAGTCGCCTTCCTCACACAAGTAATGGCTGTCTCGGAAATGCTCGCGCAGGGCAGGATAATCACTGCACAAATTAGGCCAAAAATTATATGCTGATTCTGTAAAACTTATCTGTGAACTGTGAAATTTTAGGTTAGGTTTTAGCTTATTTAAATAATGATTCAAGAACAGAGCATTAGATTTGTGGGGAGATATCATTTAATTTAATACTAAATTAAATTTTTAAGATTTAGTACTAAAGTGTCTATGAAAACAACAATAAAATGTTCATCAACCTTATACCGTATATTAACCTAGGCAAACCAACTACAGTAGCACAAGTAGAAGCAGGTGTATAATAATGGTATACTAGCTAAGTCAGCTATTATGATATCCTGCATTAGAAGAATAAACAAACAATAATAAAGTAGAAGATCTCAATTATCAGAATTTTTTTTACTAAATCATTAATGATTTTCTAATGAAGAAATGTTGCAAATATCTGGCAAGAGGAAGCTAGTAAAAAATATGACAGTAATGATGATTAACATAACCAAAATTAATTTAGACACTTGTAGAAGATATTACTGTGATGAGTTGTTCACAATTAGCAGTGGGCAGACATGAGAATTGTAAGAATACTGCCTACATAAAAAGTTGACCGCATAACATCAACCCACAGCCAGACACTATAAACTCTGTGGTGCGGAGCTCAGGAAAATTTTCTCCAAGGAAAGAAGATCTCAAATGAATTCTCATATGCATTCACACACAAACCTCCCATGGTTTGTGTGTGCATAAACAGCCAATTCCTTTATAGCCTTTGAAAAATTCTGTTGATGGACTGACACAAGAGATAGAAAATTATACAGTGCATAAAATCAACTCACTCATAAAACTGATGCTTGCCATCAGCATCACAAAAATGGCAGTAGAAATGGTCCTTTCTTAGATGGCGGAAGAGTTCATCGCTGTCCATGTATCTGATGTCACAGAACTCACAGAGAGGATGACCGCGGTGGCTCGTATCATCAGGATCACCTTTACGCCGATGGTGAGCAAGCTCAGAGCGAGTGTAGGCCCGCCGTTCCCGGGAAAAAATCTGAAATTAAAGCTAATGAAAAACAGCTTGGCCTATCTAATTATACTTCTTCATAGGTTGGTGACCATAGGATAACAGATTTTTTTTTTAATCTTTATGAGATTATAAAAAGCACACTATAAAATTATATATATTTATCTATATATTAATATGATCTTGACATTAATAGATATTGACACAAACTAATCTATTGCTCTGAAATAATGTAACCTACCTAGTTTGTATTTAATTAATACATAAACTAATTACAAACTAATTAATACATTAATTTGTAGAGAAGTACCTTGAGGTGAGTTATGCAGAGTTCACAGAAGAAAAGCTGATGATCCTGATTGACATGGTTCTTCAGGGCCAAAAAATTCTTGAAGACTCTTGGTTTGATACAAGAAGGACATGGGTGCTCCAGGAGTCTATCATATGCGACCATTTCATTTTCAGATTCAAAGAAGATGCCATATCGAGGCTCAAAGCTCATGTTCCGCGTGTTCAGGTTGCGGAAAGGAACCAATTTGCTCTTGGAGATGAAGATTACCTGGGAAAATTTTTGCAATCATTAGAACATTGTAATAACAATTGATAGATTTTTCATACAAAAACAAAAAAAAAAAAAAAAGTTCATCATTGTACATTGAGAAAAACATAAAATTATGTAACAAATCTGTCAAATCAAATAGCATGGAAAGAATTCAATCAATTTAGAACAGTAATTTTGATATTACTTCTGGACAATCTAGCCTGCAGACATGATCTCTAAATTACAATTCAAGAGTAGAGAGTTTTTGGATTTTCTTGTTTTTAGACTAATCAAACACTTTCATGAATGTAAATTGAATAGGGGCCATTAAATGGTCTATTATGTATATCTATTTATATTTAAATTAAATATTTTGGGATAGATGTATAATTTGGATATAAATGTCACTTGATTGCTCCAAGCCTTTCAGGAATCAATTTTTGGAGTGATGTTTATAGCCAAATTAAAAATTATTTAACAAGTATTTACATAACAAAGAGAGTTGCTTTAAAGTTTCTCAATGTTAACAGCATTGAAATCCACACAGAAATATAAATTTTCAATGTGTTTAGGCTGAATTAGGCTCCTAAGGACTTGAAACTGGACTTTATTGAGGCCTTTTACTTTAAAATTTTTTGACATAGCAGCTGATGTGATGGTGGCCTGCCTCTTTTGTTCATTTAGTACACAGTTGTCTTTTGTTTGAGAAGGTGATAGTGTGTTGTGCAGTGGTCTGTAAAGAAGCATTGATTGGTTCAAAATGTCATAAAACCATGTTCTTTTATATCACCTATAGAATTACGCTATGTGCTTACATGTGCCATGTGGCTTTGGCCCACTTTTCCACTTGGGCTAATGAATGTAGGGTAAACACACCATATTCTGACACCTTAAGGATGTAGCAAGAAATAAATGGTTATAAATAGATTACTGTAAAATGGGTTAACTTAGACCACTTTTCGTTTTTTTAGCAAAAACCCCANCTTTCTATTGTGTTATGTAGCCTCAGTATTAGGCCTTTAATGCCCATTGACAAAATTTTTCTATGTCAAATAGTTTTTGAGTTTTGGGGGTTTTCGTTAAAAAAATGAAAAGTGGTCTAAGTTACCCCACCGGTCTAAGTTACCCCATTTTATGGTACACCTATTAATGGTTTTTCTTTGTTTCAGACTCTACAGAGTCTTATATATGCTAATTTCAACTTAATTTCCAAGCCGGTCAATATTACCCCTTCACGGCTGACATTAGGTGGTCTAAGTTCCCCCATTTGGGGGCAGCACCCCCCATATGCAAACTATGACACTTTCCTCAAATTTGTCATTTGCATATGTAACTAGAAGAGTTCTACTACAATGCACCAAAACCTGGAGTTATTTCACAAAAAATATAATTGATTTTACCACCCAGTCTAAGATATCCCAAGAGCTGGGGTTACAAAGACCATCACTTTTTTTGAAATTACATAAAAACCATGAGAGGCAGGAGCCAGCAATTTATGATGATTAAACCTAGAGTATAGACCTGTATTTTGCAGGTTTCAATTTAAGTTTAAATTAGGTAGTAAAAAAATTGTATCATTTAAAAAAAGTAGGTAGTCTAAGTTACCCCATTTTACGGTACCGTATGCGCAACTCAAGTTCTGATTGGTTTACGTCACTCTCAAACACCACACTATGTGCCAGCAATAATGAAAGGTCACAAACTGTTGCCATATTTATTTAAAAGCCTTTAGAATTAAAATCTACAAAATTGCTGAATTCCAACAGTGTGTGACTAAATGTGGCATATTGTGAGACTAATTCCGACAGCGCTTCAAAATCATAATTCAAAATCGAATCGTGTGTGTCGTAATTTTGACACCCTGTGTTGGAATTAGTTTTTATGTGTCTAAAACCGTCTCTTAAGGGGACCGACTACCCTCCGGAAAAACTTCTACAGTTATTATCCGATCATCATGAAACTTCACATACATACGTAAACTGTAAAAATAAGAACATTTTGCTTATATGAATTTTTCAAACAAATTGATAGAAAACGTGAAATTAATAGAAAACGGCTAAAAAGGGGTACTTTAGAAAATCTATCTCCTCCTACAAATATCATCGTACAACATCGAGACACGTATAATTCGGTTCGCAAGGACCATACCGTACCTAAAAATTTGATGATCACTTTTCTCATTTTCCCCTTAGTTTTTTTTTATGCGCGTTTTATCCCATTTTTCCCCCCTCCCCCCCTTCTCCCCCATATAAAAAACGAACCAGACAGAAATTAAACTTAATCATCTATTAATTTATTTACCACTTGAAAGCAGCAAATACAAGTATACTTAAAGGATTCCTAATATATTCACAGACTTATTTAAAAGTCTCAAACCATAATATTCTTTCTACACAAACAGTTATCACTATTTGGTAGAGCAAGGTCAACTGGTCAACTATCAACTTTGACACATTTTTCGATGTTCTCACTGGGTGACGCGCACTGTCTCTCTTTGGATCTCAACATTTTCCTGCCAGACAGCCCAGACAGCAGACCTAGTGTTTTGGCAATAGTATGGTCAGCAATAGTATGACGTCACTATTTCAACCATCAACAAATGCGTGCAACTAAGATAAAGCTTAATATAAAGGAAAAAGTTGAGAAGTGTCAGAATTCCCCACGATGTTGGAATATACCGTGTTTACCCTAACTGCTTTGCCAGTTGCCACTATTAGGTAATAGGTACTTAGGTAGTATTATAGGGCCCAGCTCACCAGCTGGGACCTGCTTAGTGCCCAGGGTGCACAAGGTGGAAGCAGCGTCGCTAATATATGGGTTTTTAAGCCCAAAGCGTCACCGACCATTTTCAAGATGCGTCGCCAGGTAATTTTTAATGAAAAGCCATTTACGCTGAGTAATGAAAAACTATTTACAAGCCACAAACTTATTTACTAGGTTGCATGCACGTGTTACCCCAAATAACTAATTTTACCCTAAAAACAGTCCGATTGTACAGCAAGTGTCAACTGAACATGTGATGATGCAGTCTGCTGTCTGACCGCTCTAGTGACCGTAACTACATTTTGTTTACATTTTTTTGGCGGGAACTCATCACAACCGATTTTCGGACAAGCTTTACTGTCTATGAAACGTACCGGAAACCTTACTTTTTTCTAAGTAGTTGGCTGAAGACTGACAAATAGGGTAAACGCGGTATATTCTGACACATTAAGGATGCACCGAGAAATGAAAAACTATAAAAAAACATATGCATTATTCGAGTTCTGTTTGCTTTACGTGACTCTCAAAACACCGCACGACTCACCAGCAACAATGAAATGTCACAAAATGTTGCCATATTTATTTAAAAGCCTTTAGAATGCAAACCTACCAAATCCCTATATTCCAACACTGTGTGTGACTATATTCAGCACGTGGTGAGACGTATTCCAACCGCACTTCAAATTGTACTAATAGGTAATTCCGACATCCACGTGTTCGAATTCTTATCCTGTGTGAGCTGTATTGGAATACGACACGGCTTTGAATTAGAACACTATTGAATATTGAGCACCACTTAATTAGGCTTTTAATTAACAGTTATTAAGCTTTTAATTAAGAAAATTTTAATTTTTGCACACAGCTTGGAACGAGCTGTTTGTGTCCAATTTAAGTTGTGTCGGAATTAGTTTTTATGTGTCTAAATCCATTTCTCAACTTAATCATCTATTAATTTATTTACGACTTGAAATCAGCAAATACAAGTATACTTAAAGGATTCCTAATATATTCACAGACGTATTTAAAAGTCTCAAACCATAATATTCTTTCTACACAAACAGTTTATCACTATTTGGTAGAGCAAGGTTAACTGTCAACTTTGATACATTTTTCGATGATCTCATTGGGTGGCAGGGTTGGTGATTTTTTTTATTTTTTTTAAATCAAAAAATAAAAAATCAATGATTTTTTTATTTTTTAATGATTTTTTTTATTTATTTGATTTTTTTGATTTTTTCAGCTTTTTTGTCTTTTTTGAAGTGTTATTTTTTATGTTGCAATTAGCCTACAACGATAACAGTATATGGATCATAATGGATGGCTAAAAAGGGCACTTATTGCCTTCAATAACGCCAACAGGCCAAGGTGGTGTTTACCACTTAGGGATTATTGGGTAAACAATTATTGATAAGTCTATTCATCAGCTTTGTAAAGTTTGTATGGAGCAAGGTAATACAATGTTTTGAAATGCATGTTCCCAGACTCTGAGGGGTGATTTACAGTAGCCTGCAAGGTCACCTGATTTGAGCTGAGCATTTGCGATTTCTTTCTTTGGGGACATCTAAAAGAAAGGGTGTTCAGAAGTTGCCCTCACACCCTACCACAGCTAAGGGAACTGATTGTTGCAGCAGAGGTTATGGCCATACCTTGCCATATGTGTGAAAGTGTTGTAGAAAACTTCCGACAATGACTCCAACAGTGTGATGCAGCTTACAAACCCCCATCTTCCTGATATTGTTTTCAAAAAATAAGTATTTTAAATGGTATGTTATGATACGGTAATCTTGAGGAAAATAAACTTTCTTCTTTATGTACCGCCATTACTCTTATATTTTGCCTCAAAACTGTTCAATCAGTTCTGCCCCACCCTGTATAAGCTAGCTAACACATTTAAATTGTATAGTGTAATCAATATATAACAAATAGTCAAATAGTTAAAGACTACTTATAGGTTTATAGCTTTATAAGAATTAGCTAAACTGCTAGCTATGTACAATGTATTACAACACTTAATGCCTCTGTACCAAAAACATTCAATTTATTTGAACCTAATACACACTCAAGGCAACAAGTTTATATACCAATTTGTCATTCATAGTACATTTATACTAAACCATAAATAATAATACTTCAATATAAATTAAAGCCTGCCACTCGATATATATAAATATATGAAAAAATAAAAAAAATCATGATTTTTTATAAAAAAATTAAGTGATTTAATTACATGATTTAATCATTTTGATTTAATCATTACC